GCGCCGCAGGCTTTAGAATGTATTTAGCCGCACAAGCTAGCGCCGCAGACTAAAGGATGAAGATACCCTCTCAAGCTTGCGCCGCAGGCTTTAGACCAAAGCTAGCCGTGCAAGCTAGCGCCGCAGGCTTCAGAACGAAGCTACCCGCACAAGCTAGCGCCGCAGGCTTCAGAACGAAGCTAGCCGCACAAGCTGGCGCCGCAGGCTTCAGAACGAAGCTAGCCGCACAAGCTAGCGCCGCAGGGCAAGCTAGCCGCGCAAGCTAGCGCCGCAGGCTTCAGAACGAAGCTAGCCGCACAAGCTAGCGCCGCAGGCTTTAGAACGAAGCTAGCCGCACAAGCTAGCGCCGCAGGCTTCAGAACAAAGCTAGCCGCACAAGCTAGCGCCGCAGGCTAAAGGATGAAGATACCCTCTCAAGCTTGCGCCGCAGGCTTTAGACCAGAGCTAGCCGTGCAAGCTAGCGCCGCAGGCTTCAGAACGAAGCTAGCCGCACAAGCTAGCGCCGCAGGCTAGGGAATAAAGCCAACCATTGAAGCTAGCGCCGCAGGCTTAAAGAAGGAGGTAACCGTTCAAATTGCGCCGCAGGCTTAATCTTGAAGCAAACCGCTCAAGCTGGCGCCACAGGCCAAAAAAGGAAGCTAATCCGTCAATATATAATTTGGTCGCGTATGTGTGTGTGTGTGTGTGTGTGTGTGTGTGGATGTCACTTTCGAGGCCCGATTTGAGGGCCTTCCCGTGCATTAAATGCCCCAATTCTCCGTCACCCGGGGGAATCGACCCTTCTGTTTCCGATGGCGTTTTCAGAATTTCGATAAAATACAAGTTTACAAAGTTAAGGCCGGTTTTATTCATTTTTGGGGGTCCCTGAGGGCTAATTTGCATAATGCGAGAAAATACAAATTTCCTCATTCTTACCAGTTGCACTCGCGCGTTTGGCTGCCTCATTGGAGCTGCCTCCGATTGCCTTTGCTCCCCTTTCCCGGCAGTCACCTCGGGGCATACAAGGGTGTTGCGCGCGCGCTCCCAAGCATTTCATGGTATAGCGGTTAGAGCGTCAGCCTGCCAATCTTGCTATCGGGGGTTCGATTCCCGTCTATCGTATTTTTTTTTTGCTTTAGGCTCGGAATGCATGTGTCGAAGTGTATTTTCCTGTAGGGACGCGCTATTCTGAAGTCAGTCGCTCTAAACTGCGTCGCAGGCTAATGCAGGCACTGAAACTAGCGCCGCAGGCTAAAGATTCAGGCTAATCCCTCAAGCTAGCGCCGCAGGCTTTAGAATGTATTTAGCCGCGCAAGCTAGCGCCGCAGGCTAAAGGATGAAGATACCCTCTCAAGCTTGCGCCGCAGGCTTTAGACCAAAGCTAGCCGTGCAAGCTAGCGCCGCAGGCTTCAGAACGAAGCTAGCCGCACAAGCTAGCGCCGCAGGCTTCAGAACGAAGCTACCCGCACAAGCTAGCGCCGCAGGCTTCAGAACAAAGCTAGCCGCACAAGCTAGCGCCGCAGAACAAAGCTAGCCGCACAAGCTAGCGCCGCAGGCTTCAGAACGAAGCTAGCCGCACAAGCTAGCGCCGCGGGCTTTCAGAACGAAGCTAGCCGCACAAGCTAGCGCCGCAGGCTTCAGAACGAAGCTAGCCGCACAAGCTAGCGCCGCAGGCTTTAGAACGAAGCTAGCCGCACAAGCTAGCGCCGCAGGCTTCAGAACAAAGCTAGCCGCACAAGCTAGCGCCGCAGGCTAGGGAATAAAGCCAACCATTGAAGCTAGCGCCGCAGGCTTAAAGAAGGAGGTAACCGTTCAAATTGCGCCGCAGGCTTAATCTTGAAGCAAACCGCTCAAGCTGGCGCCACAGGCCAAAAAAGGAAGCTAATCCGTCAAACTTGGGCCGCAGGACAAGGCTAGCCGATGAAACATGCGCCGCAGGCCTAATAACGAGACTAGCATTTCGAGCTTGCGCCGCATGTCAAAGAGGTTTGCATGGAAGATGGGTTTTTCTTTCTTCAAGGTAACTTTATGTGGAAGGGCGCTCGATTAATAGGGCCTAGACGGGATCCAGCGGGGGAGAGTCGCGAAGCGGCTCCTCCCCCGCTGGTTCAAATAATTATTCAAACACGACACACTCTTTTTGTGACGGCACTAGAAACCATAAGGATGCACGGGGGCCAATCGGCAAAAACCATGCTTCGGGTGGGGTTCGAACTCGGGAGCCAAGTCTTCCCAGCACAGCGTGCTAACCACTAGGCCAACGGGGAGACTGGGGGGCTGTCTCTGGGAAGCTAGACCCGCCCGCCCTGCCTCGGGACTGGGGCTGCCAAAGGGGAGGGTGGCGCCCCGTATGGCGAAGGTTTAAAGTTATAATATCTCAGAGAAGAAGCATTCTTTCGATGCAATTTCTTCTTTACTTTTTTCCGGCATGGTCTAATGCATATTTGAGCAAAATTTCAGCCCAAACGGACATCACTAACACTTGTTTTGGCCGCAATTTAGCTTTTAAACTTAAAAATTAAATATAAATTTTTTAAAGCCTATTTTGAAAAAACGCTTCTTCCTCACCTTCGTTACATCAAGTCGATCATATGTGGAAAATTTCAGCCCAAACGGACCATGGGAAGGCACTTTTTGACGACTACAAAGGTTTTGCGTACATACATACATACAAACAAACGCAGACCCCCCCCCCTCGAAACGCAATTTAAATCGGCTGTTAAAATTCGAAATTTAACTCTTTTTCAGTTTTTAAAAGCCGATACTATGCAAAAAATGTCGCCGGTTCCGATGGCGTATTCAGTTTGGCGATCCGATGCATGGTTCTTTTTTAAATCCGGAAAAGGACCCCAAAAGGAGTCGTATGGGGGTACCTCAAACCAAAGGGGTTAGCGAGGCTCCGCCCACTACTAACTAAACCAAAAAACCTAAGCCTAAGCCCAAGCCTAAGCTGGTCCTAAGCCTACAGGACCTAAGAATCCAGATCTTTGAAATAAATCGCAGAATTTGAACAATGCTAAAATCCTGAGCGTGAATCTTCCAGATCCTGAGAAATTTCCAAGACCCACGCTAAAGGTGTTTAATGCCTTTATCCCAAGGTTTTGGCACCCCGTGACAGTGATAAACGCCCAAGGGCAGATCCTTTCTGGGGGTGGCAATTGACAACAAAGGGACTCGTGCCGCCTTTGCCCTCCGGGGTCCCTGTCTGTTTGTTTATTATGAAGATTATTACCCATCTAGGTGTCACTTGAACAACTCTTTATCCTTTTTGGATATGCCGCCCCGGGCGGGGATGATACCTCGGGTAACAATCACTGCGGATTGCAATACCATTGATTGGGTCTTTTGAAGGGCCTGGCAAGTCAGGATTAGCAAATTCATAACCACCAGTTCGCTAGGCTAAGACTTGGCTTAGGATTGGCCTATAGGTTTGGGCATGGCTTAGACTTTGACAACATTCTGGCGTTCCGACTGACCTGTCATTCCACTTCCCTCAACGTTCCCGACGTTCCGCTCACCTTCAGCTCGGCCGAACAACCCAGCCGCTAGATTTTTTAGATAAACGCCCCAAGCCCTTTGCAACGCCCTCCTTGTGTCCATTTTCCCGGCGACCGTTCGGCGCGACCTTCAGTTGCCGTATTTCAACACACCGGTGGCTGACGGATGTCTTTCCTAGATCGCAATGGAGATTGAGGGCAGGAGATTGACTTTCAAATATTGCAAGGTGGCCCTTTGGACAATTTACCTCAGGTATTTACTCGTTTACCGATATTGCTCCAAATGGAAACAGTCAAAACATGGAAACTATCGCCTGGGGAGAGGTTAAGAATTAAAGCTATGCAAAATAACGTATCACTACCCATTTTTTCAATAGAATTAGATTAATTTAATTTTAATACGCTTATTACTATTTATACCAAATCCTTACCGCAAATTGATGAAACAGGGCGAACTGAAGCCTAGGGTGTCGTAAAATGGAGTTTTTGGGTATTTTCAAGCACAGATTGGCGCTAGTCGCCATCAAAACCCAGTAACCATAATCTCTTTGGAACCATAAGACTATTCAGACCGTCTGGTTGCATAAAATAAACAATCTGGCGCAGTTATAAACAATCAACTAGCTGCCTGGCGGCGCGGTAACTAGATACACATCGTGTAATTCGTAATTCAAAAAATTGACGTAGACAATGTATATTAATGCTACAATTTTAACGTATGGTAAAAATTTGCTTACTTCGGATTAGGGCTATCCTGGGCTATTAGGAAACTCCTGACACATCGACTGGGGAACCGGGGCCCACCGATAAGCCCAAATTGACAGCTCTGGGTTGAGACGTGAACTAGTTAGCACCTCGTTGCTCTCCCCTTCCTATCCTCCGTTGTGGTCTAGTGGTTAGGATTTATGGCTCTCACCCATAAGGCCCGGGTTCGATTCCCGGCAACGGAAGAATTTTTTGCTTTTGGTAGTGGTCTCGATTATCGAGAAAAACAATTAAGCAGCAAAAATTTAAGCGTATTTCACACGATTTGTAAGTTTAAAATCGGACAACTTAAGCAACGTAAAAATTGGTCCCGAGTATTTCTACCAGAAGCACTGAAAATCAGCAGCTTTCGGCGAAAACACAGCCAGGGCGCGATGAATCGAGGCCGGATGGCGGCCCGATCACCCTTTGTGGATCGGTCTCCCTCGCCGGCCCCGTGTCCTCGATAGTATAGTGGTGAGTATCCGCGTCTGTCACATGCGAGACCCGGGTTCAATTCCCGGCCGGGAAGAAACTTTTAGCGTTTTGGTTTCTAGGATGGATTTAGATTCTACAACGCCTTGCCGATTCGACTGGTGCTATAACGGAAAATTAGTTGGAAAACAAACACATGTGAAAAGTTTACACAGGGGGGGGACGAGGATTACATCAACAAAAATGCGGTATTTTGCATCCGCCTTGATTTGCATCCCTTCCTGCGTAAGCTAGCCGTCCGCTTATTTGCCATTCTGCGCTCCGATCCACCGACCGGACCACAAGATGCGGATCGCTTTGGTGTTGTGCTGTTTTGCCCTCGTTTGGTGGGATTCTGAGAATGATTATGTTTGAAGTTGAGAAGCTCGCAACTTTACCATCAAGCATACTTTCCAGCAAATCCATCAACGAAGTCCGCCCTCCGCTTATCCTTCGTTGGGGTTTCGGAACACCGATCGTCGAAGAACTCTACAAGAAACACATGCTGACGGCGAAGAAGACGGGCGGTCTCGAGCCACGGCTGCAACTTGGTACCAACTTCTACCGGCATGTAGGTCGAGCCTGGAAATAATGGTTCTGGTTCGTTAGCGGGGGGGGAGGGCAGGGGCGTACGAGGGGGCAACAGGGCAAGTTGCCCCCAAAATCGGCCGAGGGCCGAAAAGTTCATAAGGGGGGACCCTTATGATTTTTTCAATAAAAATTTTTCGGCCTGCGGCGCTGTTTATTACTGTTTTTAAGACGGTTTTTACTTCTAGGAAGACTATTTTTCCAAATTTTTTTTGCCTGCGGCGCTGTTTTTCATTAGTGTGTCAACTGTCCATATAAATTTTCGCCTGCGGCGCGTTTTCTGTGATGTTTTTACATGAATTTGAGCGTTTCTAACGCTTTTTCCTTATTTTTTGCGGCCTGCGGCGCTGTTATAGCTGCGATTTTTGAATGTTTTGAAAGTGGTGAACGGGGAGTCGACAAAAATTCTGGAGTTGCCCCCCCCCCCCCAAAAATCGGGTTCGTGTACGCCCCTGGGGGAGGGGCAGCAGTTTATCGGGGGAGGGGGACAATTTTTTGTTAATAGCTTCTCGTTTCAGGTCTGCCCCCACCAAATTCCCCGGGACAATGCCCTACCGACGATAGTGCTCGATTCGCTGAATTACGAGGCGGATCTGGTGGGATTCGTGGAGCGTGCAACCGCCTGAAAATTATTGTCTAACAAACCAGCCGATATTTATTTTTGCAGCTGAGCTCCAGATGCCACGTTTCTAATAAGGAAGCGTTTTTAGTGAAAAAGTGATTTCCGGCACGGGACAGAATCAATCTTGTGCAGAATTTTGCGCTGTTCCGGACCGATTTCCAAATACTACGAAACGATTGAAGTCCAAAAAGTGATGAAAATTTTAAGTGCGAAGAAGCCCAAACTCGCCGAATTTTTGCGAAAACTTTCATTTTTTGCTCTGAAAAGCTTGAAAACTAAACCGCAGCCTTGGCCGGTACGGAACTCGATTGTCAGAAAAACGTCTCGTTGCCAGCCTTAACCAGAATATATTTACTTTTGTTCACTTCCGTTTGTAGGGCTTCAACAAGCTGGCCGGCGAAAACGCCGTCTTCGACTACCTGCGCGATGCGTCGACGGATTTGGATTGGCGCGAGGAGAGCGACATCGTCACCGCCCAACTGATGCAGCCCTCGGACTGTGGACCGCCAAATTTAACGGGGCCGGCCTGCAGTTTTCGGTGGGTTTTGTGATTTCAGTACGTTGGACAGTTTCGTATTTTTAATAGCTGAAAATCCTCCTGGACTGTTAGCCGGGCCGGGGGATTTTTTGCAGGGGGACCACCTTTTGTTTTCCACATATGCCTGTTGATAATATATAATGTATTTATATAGCGTTTTTAAAAATTTTTGTATGCTATAGCGTCGTCAAAATATGTTTAGAAAATTTTGCATCGAACATTTTGAAGTTGTTCGGATATTCTGTTCGTGATCATCATTTGACCAAAAAGTCGAAAAATTTCAAAATTTAGAATGGTTTTTCTAAACTTTTGAAATCTAAAAGATTTTTTTGAATGCTATAAAAATGGCTAATATTTCGTTATTGAGCCGTACTGGAGAAAACTGCTTCCACCCCCGCTGACGGTCGAGAAATTGAACATTGTCGACTGGGAGACTTTTCTATTAAGGGACCCGGCAAAGATTGCATGCCGTACATGATTACAGGGTTATCGCGACACCTTCGACAAGTACCTGGCCGAGTTGCGAGTGATGGATTATGCGAAGGACACGCTCTTGAAGATGGATGCCAACGATCCGGGCTGGATCGAGAAGATTGCACCCGCCGATTACTGGAACGGCGCCGAAGCTGTAAGTTTTTCTAGTTTTCTATAGGGATCTGCCCCTCGGATTCAAACAAATTTGAAAAGGCCCAACAGTTGGATCATTTTGCCGAAAAAATTCAATTTTCCGGCCTAAAATTACATTTTTCATTCAACTTTGTAGTTTTTATGCCCAGGAATACCTAAAAAACATGTAGAAACGCATCCGCAAATTATAACAAATTCTAGGATTGCCCCCAGAAAAGTTGGTTCCCAAAAAATATTTTCAAAAATTTCGAAAATCGGAAATTTTGAGCTTTTTTATGATTTTTTCTACATTTTTGACCAAAAAGACATTTTCTTTCGTTTATTTCGTTTTGTTTCGTTATAGAGCCGTAGAGGAACACTGGGAAACTTGGTTCCACCCCCGCTAACAGACCAGAACCACCTAATTAATAAATTGCGGGTAAGACTCTACTTTACCCCCCCAGACGCCCCTTTTCTCTGCGCCCTCTCCCCCAGGCCTACTATCTCTTCGCCTGCGCCCTCTTCCCCAGGCCTACTATCTCCTGGGGGGAGAAGTAGAGTTTAGCCAAATTGCGTATTCAGGAACAACTCATCGAGCAGGCCAAGCAGATGGCCATCTCCATCGCCAATGAGGTGCGCTTCGTGGACGAGTGAGGCTAATCCACTCCAACTGAATTCTTAACGCGAACAGGGCACTCCGGAAGTCGTACATCCCGCACGAGACCCTCGTCTACATGCGGAAGGAGATGCGGATCAACGCGCGGCGCCGCGGAGTCGAGCAGAACGTCGCTAACCCGAAGCTGCTCAAGGCTATTCGAGGTAACTCTTGCTTTTCTACACATAAGATCTCACAAAATCGGTTTAACAAAACAGTCAAAACAGATTTAACAAAAAAATTGAATCGCAAGGAAATCAGCAGGTCAAAACAATCAAACCGCGGCCTTAAGAATGACATTTTGCAGAAGCCTC